CTCATACTCTAGTGGGTGGGGTGTACAGCTGGCTCAATTCTCTGCCACGGAGACCCCAAACTAATGCCATTGAACTTAATGTCTCCGAGAGCTGCACTCCTAGTTTGGTGATTCCTTGTTTTAATTATATCTATATCTGGGAGGACTGGTAGCATTGCGGGTTATGGGTGGGGCTGATAACCACAAGGTTAGCAGTTCGAAACCACCAGCTGATCTCCCTGAGGAAGAAAGGTGAAGCTCTCTACTGCTGTAAAGAAGTAGTCTAGGGGCAGTTCAACCCTATCCTATAGGATGACTATGAATTGGGATCGACTCAGTGGCAGTGAGTTTGATATCTGTGTGTGTGTGTGTAGGCGAGGCTCCTCATCCAGTCTTAATCTTAAACGGAAGGCTGGCTGAGTCTGCGGGCACCATCCTGCCCCGGCGATGACAGCCCTGCCCCAGGACCAAGGCCGGGGGCCCTGTACTGGGCTTGTGCCCAACATGGCCCTGCCCAGCTCTAAGTCGTGCTAGATGGCTGGGTCTCCCCGCAGGAGAGTGCAGGGGGGAGGATCTCTTAATCTTATTGAGTGAGATGCCCTCCCTCTGGCCCTCTGCCCAAGCGCCCTGATCCACAAAGACTTCAGGCTTTTGGAGCTGGGAGCAGAGACCCCAAACTCTTCCATCTTGTAAGGGTCTCTGACTCCCTGGAAGGCTGGCTGCGGGCGCACGTCCTCCGCCATCGAGTGGACTTGGATTCATAGCAACCTGCTCCACAGGGTTGCCAAGACGACAGCTTTTCGTGAGCACAGTCTCATGTTTGTCTTGGTGGGTTTGAACCACTGACCTTGTGGTTAGCAGCCCCCACCCAGTCACTGGGGCTCCCTGTGAATGTACCAAACCAACCAAACGCACCGGCATCATTGAGCCAGTTCGGACTCCAGGTTACTCAGTACAGGCTGTATGGAGGCTGTCAATCTTCGCGGCAGCAGACAGGAGCAGCTAGAGCAGAGGTTCTCAGCCTTCCTAACACCGCGACCCTTTCATACAGTTCCTCGGGTGTGGGGACCCCCAACCATAACATTGTTTTCGTTGCTGCTTCATTGCTACTGTTATGAAGCGTCATGTACATATCTGATAGGCAGGATGTATTTTCGTGGTTACAAATTGAACATCATTAAAGCATAGCGATGAATCACAAAAACAATACGTAATTATATATTGTAAACTATTTATTTCTAATGACAAATAAGTGAAATTTTGTCTTGAAGCATGGTGTAGCATGGGTAACAGTCTTCGCGCCGGGTACTCGTAGGTGGGCGTGTCTGCAGTGGGCGGACCCGCCTGGAGACGGATAGAGGTCAGTCTCTCCTTCCTAAGACCGTGGGAAAGGTGTGTTTTCCGAAGGGGGCGCTTCAGGGGAGGGAGGCGTGGCCATGACTCGACCCACCCCCTCGGGGCGGGATCTTGGTCAGCGCTGGGGGGAGGGCCCGCTCCTGCCTCCCCCCCCCCCCAACAATCCCTTCTGATCCTGCCTTGATCAGCTGAGCTCCAGGTGTCTGCTGGGGCTCTGTAAGTCCACCATCTGTTGCCTGCCTCCTTCCGGGGGAGGGCGAGTCCTCTCCCACCACTCTGGTGAGTGTGCGCTGAGGGGGCTGGCAGGGTAGAGCCCCCTATGGAGCACTCACGGGCCCCTTCTGTTCCTGGGGAACCAGAAACCAAGGGAGCCCTGTTGACTCTCCTTGGGCCCCAGACGTAGAGAAGACTCCCCCCACCCCTCAAGGCTCCTTCCCGTCCCGCCAGGTGCTCCTCTCCAGGTGGATTCAGGGACAAAACCCCCAAATCCCCAACCCATCGCCGTTGAGCTGGTTCATTTGGCCGCCCAGTGCTTTAGCCGCATTGCCACCAGGGGTCACTCGGCATCAGAAACGCACCGCTGTTGATCAGAGCAACCTCAGTGCAGAGCCCAAAGGTTGCCAGGGCTGTAAATCTGTACAGGAGACGGCCTCATCCTTGTCCAGAAGACATGCTGGCTTCCAACACCTCCCACTTTCTGTGGGCATCTGAGCTCCGGCACCACTGCCCAAGCAGGGCTCTGGTGCGGCTCTTGGCAGCTGCCAGGACCTCACCCTGGGCCCCGGAGACCCTGTCCCTGTTGGGTTACAGGTGTCTCCTGCCTGAGAAGGGGCCCCAGCCTCTGCCCCCAGGCTGCCAGGGGAAGCAGGTCCTGGGCCCCGCAGGGGAGGGCTGCCGAGTCTGCGGCACCATCCTGCCCCGGCGATGACAGCCCTGCCCCAGGACCAAGGCCGGGGGCCCTGTACTGGGCTTGTGCCCAAAATGACCCTGCCCAGCTCTAAGTCCTGCTAGATGGCTGGGTCTCCCTGCAGGAGGCCCTCCAGGTGGACAGCAACAGGAGGGTGAGGGCTTACTCGGCATGTGCCCCCCCCCCCCACTCTGGCGACCGTGGGACTTCTTGCTACGGGTGAGGGTTGACATCCATGCCTGGCCCATCGGGAAAGGGGGTGGGTGAGGGTCGGTGTGCATGGGGGGACAGGAACAGATGTGGGCATCCACTTCCCCAGACTGGCCTCATGGTTGCCTGCGACCATGACTTCGCGAGTCCCTGCTTAGCCACTGCCCTTTCCTGGATGTGAACCAGCAGGACAAGGAGGGGGACACGGCCCTCTTCCTGGCCGTCTAAGCAGGTGGGAGGCTGCTGACCACCCTCACCCAGCCCTGCCCAGGCCACCACCGGTCATTTCACCCCTTGCCTGATGCTCTGCTGTGGTGGGGGGAAGGTGAGTTTCCAGGGGAGTCATGGCCACCCTGGGTGCCCCACAGGCCATGTGCCCCTGGTGAATCTCCTGCTCAGCTCCTACACGGGCCTGGACCTGGAGCCCCGGGACCAGCGGGGGCTCACGGCCCTGATGAAGGGTGCTGTGCGGGACCCCGCCGAGTGCATGGCCACCCTCCTCATGGCAGGTACGTAGGCCTGGGCTGGGCCGGGTGACCTCCAGTCCCTCCCATGGACTGGAGGTCAGCTGCCACCGCTGCAGACAGGGGAGGGTTAAAGGGTGGTGGGGCCATGGAGCCAATGTCAAGTCAATCCAGAAAATACAGCCAGGAGGCCATCTGGCCCCGCTTGGACACCTGACCAAGACACACACCGTGGGATCTGCGGGCAGCCTCTCGGCTTCTAGTCCAGGCCCTGCCACTAACCCTGACTCTGGGCAGGTGGCTTCTCTCCCTGGGTTTTATCTGCGCCGTGGTACCTTCTCCTCGGATGCAGGTGACAAGTCCCGGCTCGGGGGGCACAGTGATGTACAGCCGAGCACGTGCCCTGGCGGGGCACGAGGCCAGGGGCTGAGAGTGGGGGACCCTCAGTGCTCCCCGAGGTGTGACTGCCTCCAGCTCCCCGTTTCCTGGCACCACCACTCTGGGTGCAGGTTAGGAGAGAGGTCTGCACCCCCTCCTCTGGCTCAGAGTGACCCCACCAAGATCAGAGGGGTCATGTGATGAGAACCAAGCAAGGGGGACCTGCAGAAACACTCCACCTGCCCCACGAGGGGCACAACCCTCACCCCACCCCCAGGTCACCCGCTTGGATTCAGGACAGACAGCACCTGCTCTGCTCCAGGTTGGAAGTGTTTCGCCCCTGTGGGCTTCAGAGCTCCGACAGGGTGGGGCTCAAAGCCAACTCAGCTGCGAAAGAACCTGTCCATGCTGACGTCACCCCTGGCTGGCTGCCCCACCCCGAGTCTCCCCCGTGCCCCTCCCTCCCAGGTGCTGACCTGACAGCGGTGGACCCCATTCGGGGCAAGTCAGCTCTGGAGTGGGCAGTGCTGACTGACAGCTTCTCCACAGCGTGCAGGATCCGGCGGCTGCTGCAGCGGCCCCGAGTGGAGCAGCTCAGCCAGCACTACCAGCCAGAGTGGCCAGCCTTGCCCAGGCTGGTGGCCCAGGTGCAGAGGGCCCCGTCCCTGTTAGAGAAACTGCAGGCCACCTTGAGTCACTCCTTCCCCCAGGCTCCTCAGGAAGGGGGGCGTCATGGACCTCCTGGTGACCGTCACAACCAGCCTGGCCAGTCCCTTCCTCACCATGGCCTGCCGCACCCTGTGTCCCGACCCGCCCACCTGCACCGGGCACCAGAAGTATATCTGTGCCAGAGCTGCTGGGCACTGCCCCACCCCCACCCTTGGCCCCCAGCCGTCCCCAGCAGTCCCTAGTCCCCGGGTCTTTGCCCCTTACCAGAACCCTCAGGGCCTGTTGAACCTGTGCCCTCCATGGCTATACCCCACCGACAGTTGCAACCCCAGGATCTTCCTCTCCCAGGCACCCTGGTCTCCTGGTCTGCACAAGCAGACCCCCAAGCCAGGGGGAAATCGCAGACTGGCCCCTCCTGTCTGGCGGTACCAGGAGCTCAGGATGGAGAGGAGGACGAGGAGGAGGAGACTTGGTGTGCGCCCAGCCTGGGGACAGTGGGCTAGGCCTCCCTGGAAGCTGGGCATCCTCTGCCTTCCCATCCATCCCCGCCTGAAAACAGACAGACAAAACAACAAGTGCTGGAGAGGGCTCGGAGAGGCTGATGGTGGGTCTGTCAGTAAGTACCGCCACTGTGGAAAGCAATGTGGTGCGACCTCCCACGGCCGAGAGCAGAAATGCCGAGGCCTATACCCTAAGGAAGCAAGAGACTTAACGTGAACAGACCTGTGCCCTCCTGTGTTCATGGAGGCACCGTTCAACACAGCAAGAAACTGGAAACAACCCAAATATCCAGAAGAATGGATGAAGAAATGCTGCCCCCCCCCCACCCAGTGGAAGACCATGCCTGGCCCCAAACAAGGATGAATCCACAAAGCACCTCGCGACGTGGATGGACCTGGGGGAACAGTATGCTGAGTGAATGTTCTTTGCAGCAACGCTTGCGGCCGGAAGGGGCTGCAACAGCCTCAGTGGCCACCAGGCGGGGCCGGGCTGACTGGAGGAAGGAAGGGCATGGTCTTCAAGGTTTATCAAGTCAAAGAACCAAGGGATGGGCCGCTGCTTGCGCTGTGTGGCACGTCAGAGCACAGTTTCCTACAGAGAAAGCATGCCTCCTGCAACCCTAGATGTAGTTTACCTACTGGGTGAGGGGATGGGCAGGAGGCATCAGAGGAAAAGATGGGAAACTGGGGTTAACAGCCAGTAAGGGGGGGTGGGGGGTGGGAAGTATTCGAATAAGGTAGCAAAATGTGACGCAAAAACAAAAGTTAGTTTCTACCTAGCAATGAAATCTTGTCTTTTTTTCCCCCTACCAGACAAAAATAATTTGCTGTTTTTCCATCTTCTGCAAATGAATGTCTGGCTTCAGACCATCTGGGCCCTAATGAATAGCGAATAGAGTGTGATCATCTGCTAGATGGGCAGAATTATTAGCTAGGAATAACTAGTTTGACCTATTTATGAGATTTGGGTTGGTGTTCTTTTTCTTAGCACACGTGTTACATAAATCTCTCTGCTTGCGTCGTCTTAATAATAATAGCAGCCACATATGAAGTGCATACTCTACCTGTGTCAATAAAGAGCCCTGGTGGCCGAGCGGTTACACACTGGGCTGCCAACCGGGAGGTCAGCAGTTCACAATCACCAGGTCCGTCCCGGGAGAAAGAAGAGGCTTTCTGCTCCTGTAAGGCGTGGCTCCCTCTAGGGCTCCTTGCATCCGCATCACATCCCAGTCTTATAGCTGGGGACCCTGAGGCTGTGAAAGCGAGGTCGGCCCGCAGGTAAGGAGCAGAGTGAGCGCAGGGAACCCCAAAGCCTGTGTCTTTGCCTCTGCAGTGTGTGCCTCTGCCCAGGATCAGGGTCCCTGAGCCTCTCTCCCGTCCACCTCCAACCTGTTGGAATTCTGGGAGGGTCAGGTGGTCCTTCCCCCTAGCCCCCTTTCCAGGCTGGAGGCCCAACCTGAGCAGGAACTCCTGGACTTCGGGTTGGGCAATATATCCAGCAGGGGGCGCCTCTCTGCCTCGGAGAAGACCCACCTCCGTCCCCAGTCACCGGGGTAGCCAGGGTCATCTCTAGCAATTCTTCCTCCAGGCCAAGTCACTTCTCCCTCGCCCACTAGAAGCTCTGGACTGCGCCCCCAACCCTCCCACCTCCCACCCAAGGCCATGCAGCCTCCTCAGTTGGGAGAGAGGCCTCCCAGAGGCCCCATGCTCTGCCTGGGCCTCCCAAGGTCAGCCTCACCACTGATAACCCAGCTTCCCTGCCCCCTGCCCCAAAGCTCCTGAGGCCACTGCCCTGTAAAGCACCTGCCAACAGAGGCCAAGAAGCCCAGGGGCTGGCCTCTGGCTGTGCAGAACACAGCTCTCCAGAGCACCCTGCCACCTGTTTTGGAGCCCAGAGACCTAAGATGGAAACCTGTTTCAATCCCTTTTCTTTGAGACCTGGACCCCACCCAGCCATCGCCCCTCATTTGTAACATCGAGTGGTGATAATACGCCCTAGCTACTTCCCAACGTGGCTGTGAGGCCCATGCAGGGAGCCAGCTGGACAGGAGGCACTGAGCGCTGCCTGACCTGCGCTCACTGCCTGGGCAGCAGTAGGCAACAAACCGGCGAAGCCTGGGCAGTAGCTGTGTCCTTGGGAGTATGAACCCTCCTCAGCCAGGAGACTGTTTGGTGACCCCTGAGGTGAAAAGACATCTTACCCCAGAGCAGCTCTCCTGCAGGCCATGTCTCACCTCAGACTCACTCCTACCCACCTGGTGTGAGTCCACCCCAAGCCAGGTAAACTGGGGGCTCCTACAGATGGGGCCTTGGGGTTGGCTGTGCCATCCATTCTCATTAAGTTCCTGGAGGGGCTCCTGGGAATTCTCCTCTCATTCAGGTAGACATGTGGCGAGTGTATGCGTGTGATGTGTCTGTCCTTAGCCCTCAGCCTTTGGCTCAGCACCTGGCCTGTACGAGACTCGATAAATGTGCGTAGAAAAGAACGGAGTTCGGGGTTGGCCAAGTCCAGGGTGCCCAAAGGCCTTGCTCACCTCCCTTCTCTCAGAGCAACACCAGGACGGGCGGTGCCCTGCCCCCAGTTATTCTAGGACGTGCCCCACATTCACTCCATGGTTGTTATGAGTCAGAATCCACTCAGAGAAAATGATTTTGTGATGTTTTTGAGGGGGGAGGGGAGTTGACCCAGGAAACCCCTGCTGAGTCAGGAGGAGGCAAACCAAGCCCAAGCCCACGGCCACCAAGTCAATTCTGACTCAGAGCCACGCTACAGGACAGAGCCACGCCCTCCAGTTTCCAAGACTGTACATCTTTATGGGAGGACACGGTCTCACCTTTCTCCCTTGGAGAGGGTGGATTCAAACCGCTGACCTTGCAGAGCACATAAATGTAAGGCGATCCAAACGCCAGGTCACTGGTCTATGAGGTTCCTGGAGGGGAGTGCTTCCCCTCCAGCAGGCATACCTTCCAAATGGCCGGTCCACTGCCCCAGCCACCAGGCCAACGGCACCCTGTTCTGCTTCCTCCTCATCGCTCAGGCCTTTCCTGCACCAGAACTCCCCAGTGGACATGGAGAACCCCATCTGGCCAGGCTCATGCAGGAATTCAGCCCACCCACTGCTCTCCTTCCCTTCAGAGGGACTACGGCCTTCTTTGTAGGAGGACAGCAGGTCGGCATGGAGGACTTGAGGCAGGGCCTGAGCCTCCCTCAGCCTCCTCCCCCGACTCACAAGCTCTGTGGACGCTGACACTCTGAGACAGACCTTGGTCACATGGTCACCCAGAAGCAGCGTCGCATGCAAACAGTCAGCCATTCAGGGTGACCGTCAGCCTCATAGGCACAGAAGGACACACAGGCTGTTAGATTGTAGACTTCCAGTTGCCCACAGAGATGTCCTACCTGCAACCACACACAAACACACTCAGCACACCGGGACACACAGGCACAGACTCACTGACAAAGGAAGTGAGAAGGACAGGGTCCCCCTCTGGGGCTCCCTGGCCAGCAGGCTTCCTCCTCCCGTGCCCTCTGTCCCCCAACAATTCTTTAATCACCCATTTCTACTTCAGGCTATTTGCTCCCATTCAGCCAGGGATACCTGTGGCCCCATTTCCTACATCTGCGCCCGTGGTCCACTTTGGGAGAATCAGGGGCAGGGGCAGGGGTGGAGGGGAAGCCTAGACCTTAGGGCCATCCCAAAGGCCATCAGGACCAGGCCCTCTGGCACTGGAGAGGGCACAGCCTGGGCACGGATGCTGCAGGGGCGGGGCGGGGGCAGGATTTGTGGCATTTCCCCTCCAGCTGGAAACAAAGGCAGATTCCTGTGTCCAGTGCAAGCAATCCGGTCCCACCCACCGCGGTGGTTGGGACTGAAGGAAATTCCGCTGGCCTCTGGCCTCGCCCAGCCATTCAGCCCTCTCTTTCAAACGGTTTTCCCCAGCCATGGCAATGCCTACGCTCCAGTCCTGACCAACCCCCTGTCCCCCCTTGTTCAAGTGCCAAGTTCTTCCCAGTGGGGATGGTCACCTTAAGCCCCCAGACCATCTCCCTGGGCCAGCAAGGGTCCCGTCAGCTCCACCAAAGAGCCTGCCAGGCCCTCACCCCCTTCCTAGCCAACTCTGCTCCCCTCATCCAGGCAAACTCTGGCTGCTTCTCTTCAGAGTGGGCCAAAGTCTTGGCGACACTAGGCATTCCTGTCCAGTTCCTAAATGCTCAACGAGGGCCCCAGGTCATGGATTTCCACGCAACACCACACATAGCAAGATACTTCCTTACCTCAGTTCTCATCTGACTTGCCTTTCCTTCGTTACATACAAACTGCAGCTCTGGGGAGTGGGGAGGGGGGCGCAGTGCCACTTCTCTTAATGAACGAAGAGTCCAGAGATGCTGACACCCAATACAGATGGAATAGGAACTAGAGGTGTGGGCCGTTATTTTAAATCACGGCATCATATACAATGATGGATCATCAGGAGGGACGGAGGCAGGAGAAGACGCTAAAGAACCTTAAACTGTGCCCGAAGCGTCTCAATCTGGAGACAATCGTGCCAATGCACCGGTCGAAGGGGATGCCAGAGGACCCGAGGACAGAAACCTTTGCGCAGGGAGGTTACCCTCCGCGAGGTAGGATCCCTTCGATTCCTAAGCTTTCCTGCAGCATTTTGGTTTCTTGTAGGAGCTGTGCAGCCAGTCTTACCCCGGCCCCTCAGCTAGCGATTAGGAGAACAAGCGATACTAATTACTCATCTCAGAACCGGGAAAGCTGAGGTCGTACTGACAAACCTCAGGCCTCTGGACTCCTGCTTCAGCGCTCCCCCTTCTCCCTCAAAACAAACCCACGAAGCTCCAAAGGATCGCTCGCAGCTCTTTTCCTTCCAGTCTGAGGATGCGGTAGAGAAGGGAGGACGAAAACGCTGACTGACAGCTTGGAGGTTCATGTCCACCCAGAAGCAAGCACCTCGGAAGGAAGGCTGGACCACCTACTTCTGAAAAACAAAGCCATCGAACAAACAGCCACGGAGCACTCTATGGAGCAAGGTTCTACTTCGACACACAGATGTTGCCCTGAGCCACAATTTGAAGGCCAAATGCCAGGTTTAGTTTGGTCCCACTGTCCGTCTGTCTGCAGCCAGGCCAGGGTTTGTCGCTAGCGTGAGCGCCTCTGGGAGGGGCCCCCAGAGGTTGCAGGACTGGCAGGGAGGAGCCTGGGATACTTTCTCCATTCAGGGCCCCTTCATGCAGAACCCACTGCTGTGGCATTGTGGGGGCCCCTTCTAACCACGCCGTAGGATGGAATGCCCTGACCTGTCATTCCTTCCTCACGTTGTACCAACGTCGGGAGTCATCCTGCGGGTGTGGGGGTGGCCAAGGAGTGGACAAGCCCACCTCGGGAAGATCCTGGAGGGGCCGAAGAGGAAGAGGAAGATGGCTTGGCGGCTCAGAGTCTGGGAATCTGGCGTCTGTCTGCCAGCCTCTTCCTGACTACCCCCCGGCCCTCCCCCTCCCCAGCCAGACTGCCTCTGTGGCCTGGGTGGTGACGTTCCTGTGGGTCTAGGAACCCAATGGCCTCCTGAGTCTTCCAGTCAAAAAAGCGAGCTGGAGAGAGCATGGGGTGACCTGGTTGAACCCCCCTTGTGCACACGGGAAGAAACTGAAGCTCAGGGCCCCCAAATCCTCACCCGCCCTGGTCTGAGGTAGAAGACATCTGCTAGGCATCGACTTTCTTCTGCTCCTTCCAGGGAAGACCACAGAGGTGCACATCTCTCCTGGGCTGAAATCAGATGAATGGGAAGTTCAGGCACTTGCCTCACCCCTCCCTAAAAGAGACCCATAGTCCTCCCTCCTCTGGTCCCCTGCCATCCTCTCATGTCGGAAGACTCCCCGGGTTGTCAAATCTCAGTCTTACACTCTGTGAGGTAAGTGAAGCGCGGGCGCGCGCGCGCACACACACACACACACACACACACCCTGGTTTTCCTCCCTTGCTTTCTCTCTCCATCTCTCCGCTGCAGAGCCAGCAACATTATCTGTGGGGTCTGGTGCAAAAGGCAGGTGGCGAGTCCTTTGCCAACGATGATTACGGTGTTCGGAGGTGGCAGCAGCAGAGCGGGTCAACTGGATGACTTGCATGGCCATGAAGGCGGCCCAGCCCTGGTGTCGAGAGCAAGGCTTGAACTTGATCCTTCTAGCTCCGCCTGAAAGGGGAAGGTCTCCATTTCCTTATCTTCATGCTGCACTTCAGGTGTAGTGATATAGCGTAGCAGTAATGTAGCCATAGTAGTAATATAGCCTTAGCAGTAATATAGCTGTAGTAGTAATATAGACATAGCAGTAATATAGCGTATTAGTAATATAGCCATAGTAGTAATATAGCTGTAGTAGTGATATAGCCTAGTAGTGATGTAGCCGTAGTAGTGATATAGCTGTAGTAGTAATAATATAGCCGTAGCAGTAATCTAGTATACTAGTGATATAGCCATAGTAGTAATATAGCATAGTGGTGATATAGCTGTAGTAGTAATATAGCGTAGTAGTAATGTAACATAGTAGCAATATA